TATCTCGCTGAGATTATTTGTTACTTGATGAGGATTTCCGGAAAAGACGAAAGTCTACACTTTCTTAGAGCACTTTAAAAGTCGATTTGTGGAGTATCCAACACACATACATAATTACTTGAAGGTGCACATGATTATGAATAGGTTCAGAGTAGATAGGAATAAATTGATGCAGGAATAGATTTTACCTAATCTAAAAAGGGATTCGGAAGTTGGCCTCATCGGAAGCCAAACGAGGATTGTCTTGGACTCTTGAAACCCCTAACACGTTTTAACTGGGGTCCCGGGACGGTGCGCCGAAATCTAGTCACAACTCCGAGGTAATCCTTCGAATTCTATTGAGGATAATTTACCATTCCCTATTAATCATCTCAGACAAAATTGGAGTTACGCAGACATCAATATTACACCTCGGTCCTACCATCCAAACGGTTGACACATACCACCATATCTATCGTCTTGGGCATATGACGCTGATCGTTTTCCACCTCTGCAACGTTATTCTTATGAGTGGTCGGAATTTGATTACTATCTTCACCGTTTTCGCCATAGCTCGTTTTTATGTCTGATAACACCTAGAGTCGTTAAGCAAAGTTCTATCTCTTTTTCAATAGTATCTTTTTCTAAGCCATTGTTCTGGCTTTCCTCTGTATTAGTAGATTAAGCATCAGGTGAGATTTTGAAGCAAATAGCCACAAATTTTTATGCATACAATTGATAAGATCGTTTAAAAAATGTTATAGCATTCTAGAACTGAACATCACTTTAATCTTGAATAGCTGTTTATTTTTCTGCACTGACGTATATAAGCGCTTCTATAAATATGTTTTCCATTCCCATCTACCAGTATATATTTCTATTTGGATTCTCCCTTCGCTGATGGTTCATATATGTTACATCCCAGCTTTATTTATTTGGTTAGCGACAAGTTTGGTTTTTAACCTATCGGGAGGCTGATTATTATTGAAGTATGCTAGTTTTGACTATAAGGCATTTGCTATCATTTAATACTTCGCCCTCCTGGTTAAACAACATGCAGCCGTTTGGCTTTACTGCGGCATTCAGGTTTACGCAGTCCACGAGACCTTTGTTTCGAGTGAAAATGGGTTGTCCTTTCATCCATTATATGATGAACAACGCCAGAGCTGGAAGTGATTCTTGTAAAAGTCTCATGTTAACACTAGGTCCGGCTCTATCCTTCTTCCTATATATGCTCATAACTGAAAAACGAAAATGAATAGGCATAGATCGATATAGGATGGCTTGGTTAATTATCTTTTATATTGGTCATGTTACTTTTGCTCGAGTTTGTGTGAGAGTGTATGTGTCTTAGCGTCTATTCGCAATACCGGCCCTACATCAGAGTGATCAAAAAAGGTTAATGTCAGGCTCCGATCATCAAGACCTAATGACCCAAGAAAAAGCCATGACCCAGACTGCATAAGTCCGTAAGCAAGTATGGTTGAGATAATGAGATGTAAGCTTGTAGACGTGTAATCTAGGTTACAAAGCCATCTGTCCTAGACTCTCAATCTCTTCTTAATGCACTTTTATTCTAAATGAATGTCTTTTAAGCAATATTATATCAGGAGATTCATCGAAATCCAGTTACTCTTTGTATCTACAATAATGCGCTTGTGTCTAATGCATATAGGGTTTTGTAATTGTTCCTCGGCAAGTTGAACTGTGCCTAAGTCCTAACGATAATAGCCTGTACTCTGGATCAGCTTATTCCATGAAGCATGTATAAGCCTATTTGTGACGTTGTTTTCCTCACAGTCAACCTAGTAGGTCTTCCATCTTTGTTAACTACGTCTCGTTTTCTTATTTTATACTATCATCCATTACCTCGTCGGTCTCCTTCAATAGCGAGTTCTCCTCAACCCTCATGTCCATTATTCGAATTCCATTGGGTGTACTAGTGAGACTAAGATGAAGTTAAAACATTGTATATACTAAGAGTAACTGGGTTTCATACAAAATGAAGGTCTTCCCTACGAGATTAAAACAACAGTCGATCCTTGATGACAACGGCATTTCGAGACATAAATAAAATTGAATTTTATTGTGAACTTCGGACATTCTCTTTGATTCATTGTGAATACGTGCGTTATCAGTCTCATAGGATGCTAGTTGAAACTTGTATGCCTTGACAAAAGTCAGCTCTTAATCTCATTTTCTTTAGACGCAGAATATGAAGACCAAGAAGTTGTGGTCTCTTTTTTGGTCGCAGTCTCCTTTCGATGCATATAAGTGGTTTTACATCGTTTTCGAAACTTGGTCATGTTGTCAGGACTACCTAGTTGGATGTACTTTGTCCGAAGTCCTCTGCTACAGTAGCTATCGTAATTCCCGGCGTCGGTTCGTGGACTTGGTGCATTCCCAAACGTTTCACCAGTATCGTAGTCGGCATTGTTTTTTTTACCCCTATATTATTTCCCCATTTGCGGTCTTTCCTGCTGCTCCAGTCGGACTATCTTTTGGCGAGCATGCATGCATCTATTAAGCCGCGATTCCCATATAATTTTATATACACAATCTCTCCATATATTTGAAGAAAAGCTCTCCATCTTTCGCTCATCCTACATTAGTCTGTTCTATAAAGCTTTTATTTAACAATTCTAGAGCAGATACGAAGAGAAACTGGGTTTTGATTAATCTCCTATAAAAGTCTCATGTTAACACTATGGAAGGAAGACTACCCGGCTCTAGCTTACCTCTTATATAGACTCATTTTAGCAAAAGAAAATTAAAAGCCTAGATAGATATAGAGTGGTTAGGCTAATTATCTTTCATACTGGTCCTGAATGTTGTATAAAAGCCAAACGGCTTCAGTACAACGGGATTCATCCGTCCTCTGCTGGTGAGAACGACCTAGGAACCTCTTCTTCACGCACTTTTGTACGAAATGAAAGTCCCTCCAACAATTTTAGAGCATACCGCATAGTTTTGGCAGGATTTTCACTCTTTCATCATTGAATATTGCTCTAGATGAATATCAAATTGGCATGACTGAATTTCCCTTGCACTATGAGATAATATTAATTACAATTTCCAGGCAAAATCTTTCGATGAATCTATTTACAAGTGATTGTCCACCATGACCGGATCAGCTCACCACTATTTGACAGTCTCATCAACGCCCATAAGGGTATTCTGATGGAGTAGTAAACAAATAACCTTTGCCTATCAATAGCACTAGCTCCACTGTAGAAAATTGTGGGTGGACCCATCACCAGTATCTTGATTGCTTATTTTATTTCTTCCGCAAGGCTCGGCTCCTGACACTCTTTCGAGATGCGCTCTGTTTGTCTCAAGTCCTCAGAACTGGTTTCGGGGCCTTAATTAGGGCGATGAACACATTGACCGGACCTACCTCTATGATGAATCAGGGGGGATTTAGGCTTAGATTTAGCGCATGCACATGTTGGGTCTATCCACTTTTCTTCTTCATTGTGGACGGAAGCCAACATTTGAGAGTCAATTTTTCATGGAGTCGTAACTTACTAATTGCGATTACTATATAAGGTGAAACATATTTCCGTGTGAAAATATTGATTGTTCACGCGACGTATATAAATTTACGTGGCCAAGACTTGCTTTTCACGAAGAACTAATCAACTACTCTTAGCCTCGTGTCACATTCATTTGGCGTGATTGGGGCCAAATAGATTTAACGAATAACGACTTAATTTGGCTATGCCAGTTCTCGACAATTGTCTCCTTTGAGCCGAATCGGCTGCGCCTTCCCAAACGGCCGGATGAAGTAAGTGGTGACGGATCTGTGGAGCGGAGAAAGGATCCGGCTCACGGTCAGGGTTCAGCACCGCCGCTTGTCTCCTCCGCTATCCGCCCTGGCCACACTGACTCGACACGAGGCCACAGTGACCCTGTCAGCCGGTCGGTCCACCGGTGACATTGGCGTCTCGGCGGCCTGACTTTTATGAGACGAGGCAGGGCGATGCAAAACACGACGAAGTAGGACGGTGTAGAACGGAGCAGGTCGGAGCAGGGTGGGGCGGGACGAGGCAAGACGCAGCAATAGGCAGCAACACGAGAGTACTTACGGCCGACTAGCCGGAGGTGAAGACAGCACGAAGACCGACTATGTGAGGGCTGGAAGGCGCGCTTGTGCATAATTGCATGAGCGCATAGGTGCATATGACCCTTGTTATGTGTGAATGTGTGGGTGGGTGTGTTGGGTATACCTTCGCGTAGAAGTATATTGATTATCCGTGTCTTATTTTCTTCACGCGGCGTTTATAAATGTATGTGGTCAAGACTTGTTTTGCACAAACAAGGGACGCACTGGAGCAAAGCCTAAACATAAATACAAATACAAAAACGACGTCGTGCAGGCTTGACGATTTGTTGGCGTCCAACAAATGCATGAACATACGCCTGCTCGCATTTCTCCACTTCTCGCGATTCAGCTTGTTTAGCGTGTCTTCCCTCATGAGGCTCTCAGGCACGACTGGAGCAAGAGAGAGATAAATGAAAAATCTAAAAGATTTAATTTTGCTTCCAGTGACCCAGTAACAGATTATTATTGGGTATGTGTATACATAGTTGGCTGATTGACTGACCTTTGACAGACATTGACTAATTGACTGATTGAGTGACTTACTAACTGACGTATTGGTTGATTGATTGGCTGGTTGACTAATTGACAACATGATTAACGGATCGATTGTTTGACCAATTGTTTGACTGACTGATTTATTAATTAATTAATTAACGGATTGACTGACTAACTTATTGGTTCGATTGATCGAATGTTTTACTAATTGACTGACTATTTGATTTATTGAATGAGTGATTAATTAACTGATTGAGTTGCTAACTGACTTATTGACTAATTGATTGATCGACTGTTTGGCTGATTTATTTATCTACTGAGTTACTGATTGACTGTCCTGTTGACCGTCTGACAGACCGGTAGGCTGAATGATTCCTGGTCTGAGTTATGTAGCTCGATCCGATATTGGAATCGCTAGCTTGTAGGTAAGGCTGCTTTATGGCTTGCTGCATCTACTTCCTATCTGACACATTTAAGAGCTCGGTGCTTTTTTGCACGCTTTGGACGTGTATATTTATACGTGTACATGCGCAACTAAGAAAATGAATGTGTGCATCTATTTGCATTCATTTGTATGTCTGTGAACTTCTACACTAGTTAGTGTGCATGTGTGAAGAAGTCAAGGGAGCCTGGTTCTGTCGTTTTCTAATTTTTCCTAGCTTATTCTTTTTATGTCTTATTATGATTGGACGGCATTATAATGCTTTTGGATCTGGAAAGGTGTATTCATTCATCTGACTTTATGGCGCAGTTTGTGCTATTTATTCTCCCATTTCTGTTTGTCTCGATTTCCTTGCTTTAGTTAATCGGAATAATCTGTCTGGTCGTCACTTTACTGTTTCCCAGGCATTAGGGAGGGCCAAACGCTACTCGGCGTCTGATCGTATTTAAGGTTGATCGTCTATCTCCCTACGTCTCAGGGAATTTCCGTTGTTATTTGGATGTCTGGTCGGCTTCTTGAATAAGAACTTTGCCATCCTAAATGGCCTAAGGTGATTTAAAGGCACTCATATCCTAAGTGATCGGTTTCTGCAGTCCAAATAGGCTTGGTGTAACTGATAGGTTAATTCATGCAACTATTCGTCACTCCCCTCCCGAATGCGCAGCGAAATCCACCATTATCGTTTACTGTTCGTAGTATGTCTGATGTGGAAAATACTCTTTTTGTTTTTGGCTATTGTATGAGCTGTCACAGAAGCTTTTTGGAGCCTTCCTGTTTGATGGGGAGCGATAAAAGGTTATTCCTATAAAGTGGGCTTCAAAACTATTGCTACATCTTTTATGAAATCCTTAGTCTCAAAGGGGGTTTTCTTCTCACCATCCTTTAGGATAATTTTTGTCAGCATATCACATGCCTCCTATGCACATCTTCATGCTTAATCACTTTTATTCAAAGTCTTACTCATTGCTTGCCTATTGTTGAGCTTACTTCCATTTCGAGTGAAAGTGTTGGGTGAAGAGATTCGAAGGTCGGTTCTACCAGAAGACGACGGCGGATTCCTCTTGACCAGCTTTCGATTGGCTTAACTGGAAGATTTATGCTGACGCTGTTTCCGAGGCAATCCGTCGATTCCGGTGAAAAGGTGCTAAGCTTTCGTCCGTCAAGAAAACTCGTTAGCTTGAATTTTGTTGTGAC